GATGGATATGGTACATAATAGACTTGTTCAGCTTGTGATGCTAGGATGAACGGGTCGTCTGAAYGAAGCCTTGATCTATGTTTGACGTCCACGATATTATGTTTTGGGTCAACTCGTACGCCGTTAACTGTGTCAAACCATGTGCATCTGAATAKTGGGACAACACAGCGACTGTAACAGCCGCGATGCGGGTGTGTCACTCGTCCCACATCGGTTGGGAAGGAGAACGAAGCACTCCTTATAAGGGTGTGGATACCTTCTCTAGCAAGACGCGTTTTGGGTGGGATACGAACTTCGGTTCATGCCCACGCCAGGAGAAAACCGTGCGGCTACCGTGACCGGTTAGGTGCGGGTTAGTCAAAGCGGACAATATCTTGCTACGGGGTTCTGGGGGCGTTACAGCGACCGAGCTCATACCCATGATATTCTATATCGAGGACTTCATCCAACAAGCCATAGTAGTCGGCCTCGGAATCTGAGTAACAAGACCCTCTCACGCATACTCCACTATTATGTGTGGTGCGATTTCTACCATGAGTTAGCGTGTGGAACTTGTAACCGTTTACGAATAACCCCGGGTGTGTCCAAACCGTACGTAACGGTTTATATGCCAAAATCCTAACAAGTTCTGAAGCAGGGTCTGACCGAGACATAACCTACAATCATGTCATTTGTAATATTTTATCAAGTACAATTAAAGAWTGATGAATTAAAGTTAATATGTATACACTTACGTGGGTATGAAACCATCCAGAAAGTGATCGCCCCTATGTTTGTCGAGACCCGCATCATCAATATATGACTCTCTATTTAGGACCTCCGTATTGAAGATATCTATGAACGGAAAAACTTCTTCACAATTCARTAAAATGTAGGTGTGAGCTTTGTGCATATCTTCWTCCGATAGATTAACATGCGCTCCGCCTTTATTAAATAATCCTCGACACGGAGTTTTAAATATACTTAACCGTCGGTCTGAAGACGAACAATCCGCCGGCAAACTTATTTAATCTTTTTTAATAAAAAATTTAAAAATAATTCAAAATGCCGCCGGAAATCCGCCGGAAATTTTATTTTATTTTTAAAAAATATTTACTTTTCCGCCGGAAATTCGCCGGAAAAGATTAAAAAGGTTTTTGATTTTTTTAAAAAAAATTCTAAAATATTTTCCGGCGGATTTCCGGCGGATTTAATTTTAAAGAATTTTTAAATTTTTTTTTAAATATTCCGCCGGAAATCCGCCGGAATTTATAATTTTAAATTTTTTTCAGTTATTAATTAATTTTTAAAGATTAATTAACAATTAATTAACAAATCCGCCGGAAAAGCAACCTGTTTAATTTTTCCGGCGGATTTCCGTCGGAAGTCAATAAAAGTCAATTTTTTTGACTTCTGCCGGAAATCCGCCGGAAATGCCCAGTTTTCTAGTAGTGTTTGTTGTGTGCCACCGTATGTATTTTGAAACTACAATGAGAATAAGTTTTATTTGGTAAAGTTGGTTTGCAAGACTTTTATTCCACCCTACACCCAAGTTCGAATTATGTTAGTGTCATTTTCTTAGTCAAATGGTGTCACCCTTTGAAAAAAATTCCGTATATTTGTTTCTTATAGTCAAACGGTGCCACTGTTTGAAAATTTTCTCAACATTTTTTTTTTCTTATGGTCAAATGGTGTCACCGTTTGAAAAAAGTTATGGGTTCGTCCCTGCATATATACGTATTCTCGTTAAGACATATTCAAACAAGTTTTCAGTTTTGTTCTTATCGACTTATTACAATTTTTACGTCATTCCGTTTAAAAAAAAAAAAAAAAACTATAAGGGTACTTGCACAATGCAGCGAGATACATCTTCATTTTAATGTTTCATTTTTTTTTTGTCTTTGTTGATGTTACAATACAGTTTTATATGGTTTTGAGAAAGCAATAATATTTTTATTTTTGAATAAAATATAAAAATAAGGATATATTATAAAAAAAGTATTGATATTAGTATCAAACTAACTATTTAAAAATTCTCATTTTTTGTGTATTTCGTTAACTCCTTTTTTTAATTTTTGATTTAATAATGTAATTTATAATAAAGATAATAATTAAGTAGTTTGTTAGAAATCAATAATTATTCTAATTATATTTTAAATGTTTTAATATAAAATGCGATATTTATCCTCTATTTGATTATGTTTATCTGCAATTAGTTATGCATAATTTACTTGTAATCTTGAATTTTAAGTAATATGCATCAAAAAACAATACGTCATGCATAAAAAATGGGTTTTAAGAGTTTTTATAATATGCTTTATAATATAGTATAGATACAATATATTTTTGGAAAAATTTATTATAAATTATTAATTGCCTTTTTTTATAATAAAGTTCATGTATTTAATAAATAATAATTGATTTATTTAATTTTTAATTTGTAATTAAATGTCTCAATCAACAAAGGGTGATTTTTCGTGGCTCCAAGTTAAGATGAATAAATTAAAGAGCACGAAAGTCTATCCAAAAACGACATCGTAAAAGCACTAAGAAAATGGATTACGTATAAAATTCAAAAGTTTGGTAGAATTGACAAAAGGTTGCCGGAGAAAACGCTGACGCCCATGTCTTCTTTATCTTTTTTTAAAGGTCAATGGGTTGTCATCAGAAGTCAACGTCGGTGAAAGCTACGGCTTCGACACGGAGGTGGAGTTTCTGATGATGGAGACCCCTTCCGGTGGCAATACACCATTTGCTGATTGAACTGTTAACACAGACATATTGGGGGAGGAAGGACCACCACCACCATCGCCACCGCCAAGTAACATTGGGTGGTTGTTCCTGGTGGAAGAAGGGTGGCAGGTGGCGGTGGAGATCGCCGTGGCTAGTGAAATCGGCATCAGACAAAGACCTTTCCCTTGTAAATACTGCATGGCTGACCCCATATCCTCCTCCATCAGCTTCACCACCTGATTCTCCGCCACCGTCATCGTGTCATTGTTTGAAGACGACGCCGTTCCGTTGCTGCTCCTCCCTGCCGCACCATTACCACCTCCTTCGCGACCTCCCTGTACACGATTAATTAAAACACACAGATCACTGTTTTGCATGAGGGGTAGAAAAGTAATTTCGAAATGGTGGGGTAGGGGGGCGGTGGTGGAATCTGGGAAAGTAAGCACGCGTGCTGCCTTCTTTCTATGTGTCGTTTATTTGGTGGAGAGTTGTGAAACAGGTGGGGTTGGATAAGGAGATTGGTTTTTAATTAAAGATGGTTTATTTTTTCTGGCTTTCTATTTATAGAAATATTAACATAAAACCCTACATGCAACAAACTCAAAATACACCTATTCCTTCCCAACTAATAGAAAATACTCCAAACCTTTATCCCTAGGTTTCAATATAATATACATACATACATACATACATACATACATATACAGACAGGGTTGAGTTCACGTAAGATCAAAGGTTTTTCATAAAATTCATATAACTAATTTATATTCATTGATCAATTTTGTAAACTAATGATCTAATAGTCTAAAGTTGCACGATGATAATTTTGTGATTATTGAAAAATTTTGTGGCAATTTTGTGATTATAAATATTCAGATTGTAGATCTATTCCAAGGGTTGAGAATTGGTCTTACGAGACTCACTAAAAACCATTGATGTCACATAATCTCAACTTTATACATACGATACATATATATATATATATGTATATTGAAAATAAAGGTAATATGGTGAAATAATTGACAAAATGTAAAAGAAGTGAAGAACGAACCTGAGAGGAGATATCAGCAACAAGAGGAGCAACAGCAGCGGCACCCCCCAGTCGACTCATGCTCAGCACCTAATTCAACTCACACCATTAATTTCAATTTTATATTATATATAAATACAATACATTTATATATATATATATAGAGAGAGAGAGAGAGAGTACTTTGACTTGGAGCTGGAGGAATTTGACATAGTCTATGATCTCATCTAGCATTGAAGCCTTGTCTGTCTGTCATTCCACACCCCATACCAAAATCACCATTAACACAAATATATATATATATATAATATATATATATATATATATCAGAGATAATAATAACAAATGTAAATAATTTCCTTTCAATTATATTTATTTAAGTTTGATTTTTTTATTAAATTCTGTTTTGATACGAAAGATTACATCCTCATAATTACATTTAACATTATGATTTATATTATTTGTATTTAAAGAATATTTTTTTAAAATATATATAATATTTATATACTGTTAATACAATAAATACACTTACATGCCATTTTCATCGTCAGTGAGATTTACACCCCTAGCCTCGTAAAAGGACAAAACTCACATACTGACTAAAGGCCTTTTGGTGTATTTAAAGAATATTATACAAAATAAAAGACACAAGTTACAAACAAAAACATTATTTTATTTGAAAAAAAAAATATTATTAATTTGAGTTTACCAAAAACAAATATTTGGATCTTATAGTTTATAGTGAAATTATTGTATTTATTTCCTAAATCAACTGAATATGATTATGGACGTGTTTGGGATTGTTTATTTGAAACAACTTTTGTTAGTCGATAAAAGCACTTATAAACTTATTATAAGTCAGAAGAGTTTAACTTCTTTAAAAACTTATTATTACCGGTTTGACACCGGTATAAATTATTTATCCAAATACTCAAAAATACTTATTATCGATGTCACACCAGAATAAGTCAATAAATTGTTTTTACAAACAATTTCAATCACCCCTTATAAATAATGTTAAAGAAAAATAAATTGATAAATAGGGGTAAAATGATAATTTGGTAGTTAAAACCAATCCCACCCCAATCTGACTATGATTCGGAACCTACTCCCGGATTATCAGCCTTCCACCTTCACTTTCAAGTACGCACGGAATCACAAACATCCCACGCGCCCTAACCACGCGCTTTCTTATTGGCTCCTAATCATTCCCACCTTATGTAGCACGTGTGACTGAACTCTAACTGATCACTCACCGCCGGTTACCACTCTTCTCACCGGCCACCGGTAAATATGAATGTAAAGATGGTGATAGACATACCTTATTAGCATTTGGGACCAGTTCTTGTAATGATTTCATCCTCTCTGCAATCCTCTCTCGCCGTAACTGTCGAATTCCGGCCAAAATAATGATCAGAAAAAATGGAGGAAAGATGAAACTGAGATTAACATAGTGGGTGTTTGATCATTTTTGGTTTTACTCTTTCTGCTATGCTGTGTGGATCGGTTGCTTGTCCCCTTCTAGCTCTCACTCTTTGTCGTGGCTGCGCCGGTGGGCCATTACCGCCACCACCTGCCGCAGTTGCACCTCCGGTAGTCTGTCCTTGGTTAATCAGTGCTGCTGCGGCTCCCGGAGATCCGAAGCTCTGGGCCTGCACCGGTGATCATTGACGTTAAATTTCCAGAGAAAATTAAAGGTAAAACGGAAATTAAATCAAACACACCACCACTCACCGGCGGATAATGAAATTCTTGGGTTTGATTCGATTGGAGAGATCCCGCAAATCCATTGAAAAGAGTTCGAATCGAATCATCTTCATTCTATACATAATTCAATAAATGGTCTTAATAATTAATCGGAAAACAGTTTTATTAAACTTTGCTGAATCACCGGAGAAGAAGTTACCGGTGATTTGAACGATGAAGCATCGACGATGTCTTTTTGAAAAAGGCCAGAATCACCGGCGCTGGTTAAACCTCTAGATAGCAGCAACTGCTGTTGAAGAAGCAAGGATTTCGCAGCAGACGACGGATTACCTGCTCCACCGGTACCGGCGCTGATCTGGTGTTGCCGGAGTTTTGATGCTAGAAAAGCTGATTGGTCATCAAACTGGTCGACATCCCATGGGAGACCAGGTTTTTGGTGAGCAGCACCACCACCACCAGCGTTTCCGGCGGATATATCCGGCCAAGAAACTCCCGATTGGAGACCACAAAGCATTTGCTCGAGAAAATCGTCATGAGAAGACGTAGGATCGAAGCTGTTACCGTTTTGGAGGTCTTGAAGAGACATTTTCTTGATAATCTTCAAGCAAAAAACACAGACTAAACACTTGGATTCCTAAACAACTGAAACATATACGCATTCTACAGACACATACCTTGGAAAATGTGAAGTTTATTCGTAATTTCCGAAAGGGGATTTCGATTTACGATGGAGATTGAGAGAAAGCAGCAGCAATTTACAACATGAATCCATCCATGTCTGTTTGGTCTGGAATGTTTCTCAATAAGCTCTCTCTTCCCCTCAATTTCATCTGTCTAACACTATTTATAAATAACTAAATTCTGCTTCTTCAAAAGTATCTGAAGGTCTCAAGTTCAAATTCAAATTCAAAGAGAATAAAAATCCCCTTATGGCCACCGAGGTTCAAATGTGACGACTCCGGACTAGCTGTAAAGTAGGTGGTTGTGTTAAGATTAATAGGCTCGCATAACAGGTTGGATACCGAGGTTAATAAAAAAAATTCTGCTTCTTTCCATTTTTTAATCCCGTAATAGACGAGGCTTCCATTTTGCAATTTACAAATATTATTTGAAATATAATAATTATAAACAATCTTGCTTTATTTGACTCCTTATAACCTTATCAGAACTGGTTTGTATGGATTCAAAAGTCTCACTTATAGAATTAAATTAAAGATGAGTGAATAATCGTATGAGAAAGAAAGTCAAGGTGAAAAGCGTAAGAAGAGATTCCATCGTTGATGGATCGCTTGATACGGAGACTGATCTGGTGCATCTTATCCTAATGTGCATGCAAGGGTGGGGATCCCTTCTTACATTTATTACTTTAACACTCCGGGGTTGTTTGGCAGTTGTTGAATGGTTTGGTATAGAATGATTAAGTGGTCAGAATGATTAAGAGGTTTTCATGATATAATGCAAAATGAAATATAATTGTTTGGTAATTGTTTACAATGAAATCATGACACTTAATGGTTAAGAGAGACTCGTGATACAAAATCATTCAGATGGTTTTAGAATCATTAAGAGACAGACTTTTTTTATCAAACAAGATTCACCTCTTAATAATTCAGATGTTGCCTCTTAATAGAACTATTAAGAGGTAAACAAACAACCCCTCTTTATCACTGGAACCCAACTCTTAAGTACAAATACTAACTAGAAATTATTTAATTCTTAGATAAATGTATCGTCAGTTGGGTTCCGATGAGAATGAGTGTGAAGGTAAGAAGCGTAAGAAGAGATCTTCACTCTTGGATGCACATTAGGATGAGATACATTGAGAGGAGATGCAGCGGATCAAGCGCAATTCATGGGTGAGTTTGAAATAGTATTTTAGCTAGTGATCCTAAAGTTATATAAAAGTCAACTTTTTACTCTCTTTTTTATTTATTTCACCAATATGTATTGCATGCCCTAAACGATCGTATCATGGACCTTTTTATATCGGTTGAATTTAGTATACGTGTTGAAGATAGCTTTCTACAACTTATGATATACGTTAGAGGCTTAGAGCTGTTTTAGCTACCAAATACTATTGTAAACTTATAAAAAAGTTATAACTGACGACTGTCAAGCATTAATGACAAACACTGATTTTTAAGGCAACAACACTGTGTAAGACTGAAATATTTGGTATAGACTCATTAAATTAGAAATATTTGCTTTGTTAAATATCAAAAAGAATTATTCAGTTGTGAAAATCCTAAGAATAAGACATAATTATAATATTTATGAAACGTTTTAAATTAATTAATAATTGGTTAACTGAATATCTAACCTGTTATGCAAGTCGACTAATCCCAAAACAACCATCTGTTTTACGAGAAGTCTGGAAATATGAAACTTTTGGTTTCATGTAATGTGTACATAAGAGTAGGAGGGGGTAAAGTATAAATATGAAGATACTTTAGGGGTCGGATTTCTTCCATGGCAAAACATAGGCCGGAGTTTGATTGACCAAGTCATACGGGAGCTCCGTTACACATTTTCTTTGAATTGACTAAACTACCCCTACTCTCCCCTAATATACTATTGTTTAATATTAAACGAATTTAATTGAATTGTAATTTTGAAAACAAGATGATAAATTGTTTTTGATTAACCTCGATATCCAACCCGCTTTGTGAGCTGATTAATCCCAGAACGACCACCTGCTTTGCAGATAGCCCAGAGTCATCGCATTTGAACATCCGTGGGCACAAGAGGATTTTTATTTTTTCTTGTATTTGAACTTGAAACTTCTTGATACTTTTGACCTTTGGAGGCAAGCTCAAACCAATCAAACAGCACCTTTGTGGTTAAGATGATAAATTTATTAACTTGCTTTTATTCAATTAAAAATGGAAGATTCATTACATTCGTGAGAGGAAATTGATCCAATGTTGAAAGTTAGTTTAGTGTTCATGATATTTTTAGAGTATTCATTTGATTTTATGGGGCTGTTCGGTAACAACTTATTAAGGTTGTATGGATTGTATGACTTATTCGGTAAGTCGTACATGACTGTTTGGTTAAGGTTTGATGGCTCAGTTGAGTCGATGGCTTATTCGCTCAGCTGGTTGAGGATGTTGTATGCATTAGGTCAATATTTTCCTTTCTTGCTCTTTTATGGGATACACTCACTTTAGAAAAAACACAAATCCTCAAGCCCCAAAGACGTTCTTGACTCCCTCTCCCACATTCTCGCTGCCAAACACTGGAGTTGTAAAACCCAAATTTTTTTAAATATATAAATAATATTATATGAGCCTTTAAATATATATTTTTTAAATTTATTTGAAGTGTTAAAATATTTACGTAATTAATTAAAGGAAATAATTATAGAAATCTTAAATAAATAAATAATGAAAAGAAAGACAAAAAAGAAAATGAAATAAAATAAAATTGTTTTCTTTTATTATTGGACCATAAATGTGATATATTACGTCAGGAGGGGTTTAGTTGTAAATATCAGAAAGTTCAGAGAAGAAAATGTCATCTTTTTTAAAGTTGAGGGACCTGTTTTGCCAATAGTACATATCTGTTTAAAGAAAACGACCCATCAGCCTAAAACTCTCGATTTGTCCGATTTCTTCAACTAATAAGCCAAAACTCTTGACATATAAATTGTAGAGCTCTGGCTTAGGAACGTTTGGGTTCAAATAGCTCGGAAAATCGTCGAGTTTTGAGAGAGAAATCCGAGTTTGAAGTTCGGAATCAAAAATCTCGGTTTTTACCGATTTTGGGTGAGATTCTTAACCAAATCTCTTGATTTTTATGTCTATGACTTCGTTTTTAAGTACTCTATCAAACCCCAGTAGCCTCATGCTCATATTTATGTTTTCGTTGTTCGATTTTTATGTTTTTAAGTTGTTAAGTTTTAGTTTTAAAAACAAATTTTAAATGAGTAAATGGAACTCATTTCTTGATGAAAATTCATGTTCTTTATGTCAAAGTGTTGGTAAAAATATTATCAAGAGTTTGGTGCAAAAAGAATAAAGAAAAAGGGTCAAGAAACGAGCCATTTTCATGCTCGAAAAGCTCGAAAACGAGCAGCTACCCTTATTTAAAAATATTGGAATAAAGATGTTGAGGGCAGAAATCAACCTGTGACCTCAGCTTTGAAGTTGCAAGCATTAACCAGTACGCTAAGTTTGATTTTTGTTATATATAATGCACTTTTATTATTAATATGCACTGAATATTTAAGTTTCAGAAATTTGCATTTACTCCCTAAAGTTTCATAAAATTATTTTTCCCATAATAACTTTATAAGACTTTAATCAAATTTATTTGGAGTTTGTGAAACGCAAACTTTGATCCAGTTTCGATTATTTATTTAATTTAGTTACCAAAATGATCATATAAGTGAGAAATCAATATTTTAGCAATACTTTACGTATTTGCTTCCAAAAATTACCGAAATAACCATTTATCTTGGGGATTGGTTTATGAGCTTCATTTTTATATTATTATTTTAAAATTACCAAAACGACCCTATATTTGGAAATCGGTATTTTAGCAATACTTTACGTATTTGCTTTATAAAAATTACCGAAATGACCTAAGGTCTTGGGAATATGTATCTAAGTGTTATTTTAAATATAATCCTTAAGAAATTACCAAAATGACCCAACAATATGGAAATTGGTATTTTAGCGATACTTTACGTATTTGCTTTATAAATTACCGAAATGACCATATGTCTTGGGATTGGTATCTATGTTTTATTTTGAATATAATCCTTAAAAAATTACCAAAATGCCCTATGCTTTGGGATTGGACTTTTAAGCATAATTTTGATGTTCGACTTATGATATATACCAAGAATGTTCTAAATTAGGGAATTAGTTAAAGTTATACCTTTGGTATTCGGCTTCTTAAGATAATCGAAATGCCCTAGACTTGGAAAATTGGTATTTTAAACATTATTTCGAGTATTAATTATGTTGGACTTTAAAGTTATAGCATGACCATTATTTATATGGGTGTGACATGTTGTCACTGTTTTTCACTTACGAATTTTAAAAGAGACGTTTTGACCACAAAACATTAATTACGTTGCGAACTATTTAGTTTAGTTATTTTGGTAAAATACTTATTGTTCAAGAAAATGTGAAGTGCGGTGTACATTTTTATAAAATGTACGAGCAACAATTAATATATAACGACGTCACATTATTAATAATATTTCAAGAAAATATTTGAGCGAAACATGAGACATGATGGTATCGGGGGTTGATCAATAGAAAAATGTTAAGAAAAGTCGTGTTAAGATTGTTAAGGAATAGTAATCAATTTAATTACGATTATTTAAGATGCTTAGGAATGGTATAAATTATCATGTAGGTTGCATTTTTGAGATAACGACCTATCAAACGTTAACGATTCAAGGTGAGTACATTATGCGATTTTTATGGGATATATACATAATTATTACAAAGTATTTTATCCATGATATTTGCTTGATGTGTTTATATGCATATGATGATAATTTGATTATATTGATGTGCATGATATTTAAGTATATGCATGATATGAAAGGTGATGTTGATGAGAAATATTATGATGACTTGGTATTATCAATATGATATTCAAGTATGTGTWTAATGTGGAATATGACGATGATGCATATGTGATTTATGTTGTCACTTGCATGAGATGTATGTTGCATGTCACGATGAGATTTGCATTAGTGAGTATTGCAAATAAATGATATGCAACTAGTATGATTAGGAAAGATTCGTCCACCGTACGGGGTGGGTTGGACATGAAAGGAGGGCTTGCAATTCCGAGGTC